CCAGTAGATTCTAAAGGTTCTTTTTTTATTAAACATGGCGTTAGAATGTACAGGTTTCACCTCTGGGGAAAAGTGGATCGAATAGTTGCTAAACATTTCCCATCTTTTACTGATAGTTGCAGAAAATGTTATCTATGAATTCCGGTATATATGGACACATAACCTAAGGCTTTGTAGACCATTCCATTAAAATAAATGAAGCTTTTTCTAAACGGAAAAGTTGTCATAGTAAAAATTACAAATTTGCTTTAATTTTCATAGCTGTTATGCTTAAAGCCAAATGCCAATAATCCCAGTCTCCGTCTAACTGTTCCCTAATGTGTCACCGGTAAATTTGTGGATTTACAACGCTAAAATCCGGGGTTCGATTCCTGTGGTGGACAGGACGCAGGTAGCCTATTGTGTAACTTTGCGCTCAAACAAACAAACAGAATCCTATCTAACTTTCGGGAAGTTTCTCTCATACTATAGCATTGCATTCAGGATATTCAAGCAGAATATAGAACGATTTCATTTATGTTAATTGATTTTTTGAAATGTTTCTTTTCGATATAAAGAAAGATGTGTTTCCTTGTCCACACAGTTTCGTTATAATTCTGAAAACAGCTGATGTTACACTTTCATGGCAACGTCCTATATTCTGCTTAAGAAAGCATATAGACCATCCACAAAAGTCAAAGGTTAACTTCGAATTTTGCAGTGAATTTCTTTTCAGAAAATTTTATTTTAAAAGGACTCCAGTAAGAATGTGATAGAAAGGTTGAACTTTTTACATATTTCTAAGACATCCAGAGTTTTTATATATCGAAGTATAGAGAGTTTATACCCAATTAATAAAATTAATTATCTACAAAAAAAACGGATTTTTCATATGGAAATAAGAAAACATGTTTAAATTGCTGTGTTATTTATTACAAAACAAGTTTCCAGATCACTATATTTGTCTAAGATCTAATATATCAAAATTGTTTATCATCATTTCTTCCTTTAAACAAGAACCAACCTTAAACTCTGAGATGCAGCTGCAAATCGAATAAATCTTGCTTGTCAGTTATTAGGCTAATAGCTACAAAATGGACTATCTGTGCTGTGCCTACCACAGAGATCAAACTCGAAATTTTAGTGTCGTAAGCCCTCAAGCTTGCCACAGTGTGGAATAAATAAATACTCGTGTTATTTTTAATGGATTGCAGACTTACAGATGTAAGTTATCATTCAGTCCTTGACATTTATGTCGTCAGAAAATGCTACATATTTTACTGAAAATTGCAATTGAAACGGTTGAAAAGTTTTGTTATTCAATACAGTATTATTGAGTGTTGTTATTTAATATCTTGTTTATATACATGTCCCCGAAATGTATGAAGTAGAGTCTGTTGAACACCTAATAATTTTGAATGATGTGCTAAGCTCAGAATAATTCGCTTTTTGTATACTTTTTTTCACCTTCTAAAGAATAACCGTGAACTTCAAGATTTCTGCAAAAAAGAAAGAAAATGTATTATATTCACAATAACATTCTCAAACAAAAAAAAAAAATGTGGCAACTAAAGGTAGTAGCTCCTTTCGTAGTGATCTTTGACTCTCGTTTATAAATCATCCCCTACTCCATCAAGACAAAAATGTTTAAAAAGAAAGAAAAACTGTGGATAGAAAGGGCAGTAAAGATAATAGGCTTAGTGATCGTGACACTAGGTGACCGAGCTAACTAGGTCTACAGCATGCAGTTAACCTACATAAAATACGCATGCGCAAAACATTTTAATGCATAATTCTCAAAGGGATATTTCAGGTGGTTATGTTGCTGTGTTAGTATGAGAAGAATGATATGCCGGAAGCTTTATAGCCAGCTTGTTGTTTGACCTATATATTCTTGTTTATGTTGCCGTTGCAAGAGGATTTTCCAGTTTCATTCCTTCCCACTTAAACTATTATCACGATATATCTGGTTTACGTTTGGTTTAGCACCAAGGACGAAAGGATACCTAGGTTAAACTAAACTGACACAAAAGTTTCCACCAACTTCCAAGGAATGTGTACTGGTAAATCACAGCATTGCAGATAATTTGTATTCGAATATTTTCGAAGGACAAAACTTTTTTTGTAAGAACCGTAGAAACATTAGCCTTCTTGTGCTTATGTAGAACTTCATGAATAAGTTAGTTAGTTTTATCGTTGTTGTTTATTGCATGTAACAACCTGTTAACACAGTATCATGCAGTCATATTACTACTTTAGATCAAAACTTGTCCAGCCGTTTACATTCAGCTGGATCCTTTCTTGATGTTATATTTAAATCAGGTTGAATCGCTTTAAGATATATGCACGTGTTAAAATTCAATCCTATCAGTGTGCAAAAAAATAGATCGCGTATGCAAAATAGAACAAAAGTTAGTTAGCTCTATCTTCTACATGACCATACAAATATATGGTCAGTTAATGTTTTGTAATTACGAAACTTTCTGAATGCTGAACAATGGACTTAATAACAATTTGGTTTGTTTGTTTTTTGGAATTTCGCGCAAAGCTACACGAGGGCTATCTGCGCTAGCCGTCCCTAATTTAGCAGTGTAAGACTAGAGGGAAGGCAGCTAGTCATCACCACCCACCGCCAAC